GAGCCATCCTCAACGTCACTCTTTTCTACCTGATATGGCTGGGGATGCTAAGACAAGGAAATTAAGAAATTCATTTTCATGGAAAAAAGTTTTCCTGCTGCCTTCATGCTTGAGAGTATCCTTGGTTTTATGTAACACCGCTCACCCAGCAGTCTCGCATGACTTTCTTGAAGAATCGCCTACGTGGTGGAGTTACTGCAGAGCTATTACTTCAGAATAGCCTTTTTTGAACAACCCTGTGCAAAACCAGGCTTATTCTGAAACAAGAAAACCTTATTCTGGTTGATCTTAATACTCTGTCAAAACTGACTTCTTTCCAAGAGTGGGTTAGGTTAAGTCCGACCAGGTGGAAGAAGAGTGCCCACACACAGAAGGATCAGGAACAGCCTTCAAACTCACACCCTTTCTTAACTGGGGTGAATTGGCAAGCATGGACAACTGTCCCATTGCACAGAGGAAAAAATCTAGAGTATATAGAGTCTGATAGGAAGTGCAGCATGGGCCTCCCAGGCCCTACCCTTTCTTCTAAGTATGGAACAATTGGGTGAAGATTAGTTTCTCCTCTTGGTTGCGTCTCTTATGCAATCGACTTTGTTCTTTTAGTTTTATTCTTACATTGATATTTTTCCCCCTGATAACTTCTGCAAACAGCTTTCCCTTTATCACTCCAGTCCTGCATTTTAAAACAACTGCATGCGTACAAACAGCTGATTCCTTATGATGCAACGCTGCCAGTTTTCATGTAGCCACCTTGTTGTCAACTACCTGCAGCAAATTAGAGTCTATTCAGGCAAATCAGAGCTCATTGCATTTATGTCAGTCACATGTCATTTTCAAGAATCCAGTGGATCTCTTGATATTGCAGTATATACACTGTCACTTCCTCCATCAGTAGATCCATGAAAATTAGCAGAACAAAAATAATGGTGACACTGAATAATTCAGTAATACACTTTGACAATATTTGCTAAACTCCTGTCAACACAGCCTACTTTGCTGTCGCTGCAGCATACAGTGGAACTGGCTTTACAGTCCTACAGACTATTATTAGTCTGGTTTTTGGATACTTAGCACCTTTTGCAAAAACAGGAATAGAACAATAAACCAAGATTTTTATCACAATGATGTTACAACTAGAAGGATAAAACCCCAACCAAACAAGAGTATATTGACATTTTGTCACAGTTGTAGGTAAGTCGATGCAAGAATGATCAGCTCTACTAGGTCAGCTTAGTCTTCGCTGCTTGGATTTGTGTCCATCTCCTCCTCTGCCATGCTCACAGCAATACGGTGTGAGAGTACACTTGCGAGGCAACCAGGGAGTTACATAATTTATGACCCAAATAAAAAAATCCAGGCATGGTATAGAAGTGGATGGTTGAAGATACTTTACCTAATGATACAGACATGCTTCTTTAGGCAAGAGGGGAGAATTAAATCATAGAGCTGAGTCCTTGAGGTGAATAGAAGACACAGAGCAGCTTTGTGTTAATATGAGTGGAGTTACTACTGTGGAACCTTAATGTGCAGTTTTACTCAAGCTTGAGAAATATTTTGGGGTTTGTACATGTGTCCTGGTTTGAGCCCTGGCCTACATGTAAACACTTGAATATGGTGATACCTCTAGCCAACTAGCAAATGCTTTTGGCAAATCCCTGGCTGGAGAGCATCTATTTCTAAACAAAACTTGTTAAGAAATTGTATACCATGTACAAACAGCAGCTAGAACATTTTTCAATGCCACAAGAGTGGTTTTTTCTTTAACCTCTGTAGCTCAGTTTACAGGGTGCTGTGGATGCTCAAAGGTAAGATGGACCATCCAGGAGGTTTCAGCCATTTTCAATGGCTGCAGAAACAATGGGGCCAAAGGAAGACTTTAGCACTCCCTTGCCAACAAGAAGCTACCAACTCTAGACATCGAGATAGTTTGACAGAACAGTGCCCTCGGTGGCAATGCTGTCCTCACACTCCGACTTCTGTCCCCTCAATGGTTTCAGTATAACTAGCTGCTGAGTCAGGGAACTGAGGCAATTTTTTTTTTGTTTTGTTTTCTTTGTAGGTAGCTTCCCCAGGGGATTCTTAAGACAGCGCTGTTACCAGAAAAAATGCTTGCCAAGGCTTGCTGACCACGCATCTGTGCAGATCCTGGGAGTGCCTCTTCAGTTTTGCCAAGCCAGGTTAGCTCAACTCACTGTCAAACTGCTATTAAACTTAACTGGTGGACTACTCCTAGCTAAGCAGTGAGAATCATAACTCCCAACAAAGCAGTGCTAACAACTATTGGAAACAGCACCATCATAAACTGCTGTGGTCATTCCCAAATCCCACTTGGCAATTAGAGGGTAAACACTGAGGACAGAGACATCAGTAAGCAGTATCCTCTGCATGGAAAAACCTGCAGGATACATAAGGATGGGATTTACACATATACATAGGATTTGGGAAAAATATCTCAAAAACCTTAATTTGATTATAAAACATATAAAACAGAGTACAGAGTTTCTGTAAATCCTTTAGAAGGAAAGGTAATTCAGAAGTATAGCTTGCTGGCTCAAAACAAAAGCTCGGTTCTTTAAATGCTTAGTTCAGCAAGTGTCTGAGGTAAAGCACTGGTTATGTTAAACCACATGACGTATGCTTTGTATCAGCAATCCTCCTATGCTTTTGCAATCATAATTCTATCATGATAAGATCAAGGCAGTTGGACATAGAAGAATATCAGTTTCAGTTAATTCTCATAGGCTCTGAACCATGTTGACGTCAGCTTAAGATGAAAGAAATGACACCTGGTGGTCCATAAAAGAAGCTGTTCTGCTAAAAAAGTACTATTTGAAATGAAAAAATCTCACATTCCCACACAATATTATTCATCCAAATGGTAACCCATCAGTGTAAATCACCTCTAGGTAGGCATTTACAAGATATAGGAGATAATGGTCTGGGTGCAGAACATTTCTGGAGAAGAAAAATACTGTGAAAGAAGTGGAGGAACATGAAATGCTGTTGTCGAAATGTCTGAGGACTCTCATGTACTACAATAGTTCACATGTCCTTATTCTGCAACCTGTTATTTAAATTCAATCCCAAAACTACTTATTTCAGGTTATTGTTTCTACTGCTTCCATCTACCTCAGTATCCAGAAGTAGGTTGAAATTAAACTAGCAGGTCTTTTATATTCAGTTTTGCCCTAGACACTAGATCTATTCAGATAATCATTTTTTAAAAATCCATTTTTTTTAAACGAGAACTATAAAAAATGCCTGAAGCACTACATTACCTTTCCTACTTTCCTAATGGCATCTCCTCAAAGCTCATGGGATGATGGCCTGCAATTCAGTAAACAGGAGAAAGTTGTTCTGGCCTCTATACATACCTGAGTGCTCCTGCTAAAAGATGCAACTAATTTCTTTTTTTTTAAAAAGCACAATACACATTTACTTTTGCTTTGTAGCTGTAAGAGATCCATCACAAAAGCCAGTTTCTCTCAAGTCATTTATTTGCTTGCAAAATACAATCCACAACATAAAATACAAACCAGCATGTTTTCCTCTAATCCCTTTCCACTACTATACTATTCAATGCTACAATAAAGTAGGTGCGAAAATTCCAGATGGAAAACATGTTAGTTGGATCACATCCCCTTCAAATACCTCAATTCTTCTGCAGTCGAAAAACTTAATAGGATTTCAGAGGTTTGGTTTGAGGGTTTTTTTTTTTAAAGTTCATAGGAATTATTATACCAGAAAGAATAAACACTCCAACCTAAGATAAGGATCTTCTACTAGCTCCCCCTGGGGAAAGCGTGACTGAGGAATTAGTATCACTAGCCAGCGGGACAGTGATCTCATTTCAGTGACCTTGTTCTATCAGTATCAGTGATGACTTACAATGGCAAAGCATTTAATATTAATATGTAAACTCTGTCAAGTGCTTTCTAAAATGTCAAGTGCCCATCCCCCAAATTACAAGCGATTATTTTATAGATACTGTATTATAAAAGTGTTACGAAGTTATGTCATAAGCAGTTATTAATGCCTTTGCTACAGGCTGAATCTGTTAAGAGGTGACTGAGCAACTGGCTGTTACAGGATGCCTGTCTGGGACAGCTCGAGCTAATTTTTCTAACACACCTTGCCAGTATTTTATTTCAGAGAAGTGACAAGCTGTTGGCCTCAACAGCTGCAGTGCTGATGGTTCAAGAGCCAGCTAAGTTGGTAAACGAAGAAGTTTTCAGACTGGGAGAAGAAAGGGGATGGCCAGAGGAGTACAGGCATTATGTGTTGATTATATTTTGTCTCTCCTTAAACTATAATCACCATCTTTTAAACAAGAACTATAAAAAAATGCCTGAAGCACTACATTTCTTTTCCCACTTTCCTAATGGCAACTCCTCAAAGCTCATGGGATGATGGATGGATGCAGGGCATTTAAAAGTCTTTTATATTTACTTAACACATTCATAACTTCCCTGCTAGAAATGGGTAGTCATTGCAGTACCAGAGAACTAACTGTAGAAATGCCATTCAGCATGAAGGGGCTCAGATCTGCCTCCAGTAAGTTCCTCTACACACATTCCAACACTTGCTTTTCAGGAGGGTGTAATGATTTACACATTATTCTTAAGTAGAGGAAGTTTCAACAGCAGATTAGTAACATAAACTGACAAGCTATATGTGCCTGTCAACAACACACAGCAGAGCTGTTGCTGTCTTTGGATTATAACAGTTGCCATGTAAAAACTACCCTGTTTTTCTTTATTAAAAAAAAAAAAAATCCATCATCTTTAGTCAGTAAGTCATGAGTAAGTATTGTACAGATCTTCCACACTCAGCTGACTTTGTCTGTTAACGGCTTTAAAAACAGAAGAATAAAACCCCAAGTTTATAAATGTCTGACAACAAACTTTGTAATCCCGGTGCATCATTGTCTGCGTTGCTAAATCTGGTCTTGATACCACAGCATCAACATCCATCATCAGGTGCAACTGCTGCATGCTGCTTCAGTCATTCTGTGGCTTTCTGTGGAAGTATGTGCAGATCTTCCTCATGGAAACTGAAGCGGTTGCAGCCTAGGAAGAAAAAAAATCCCAAATCAACGAGAAACGTTTCTAGGTTAACAGTTCATATGCTCCAGGAGTCTTAAAGTCTCCCCTCCATCATTGCTCCAATTTGTTTAGCTTCCCAACTAAGACAGTAAATGAAAGGTTCTTTACTATAATCTGTTTGTCTCACAGATAAGAGGCTTACTACCTAGAGGAAGCACTGGCTAAAAGCTAGAGTTGTCTTGCTGCCATAAGAAAAGCACTACGGCTGCAGTTTCAGCTTCCCTACAGCAGATGAGAGAGCTGCAGATTTCCAAGATGCAGCAGATCAGTGAGTACTGCTGGTATTCCAAGCTCCTCCTCAGGCTTTAGGTACAACACAGGAGAATCCTGAAATCTAAACTAGAGCATACTGGGCAGGACATTTAATTGTTCTATAGTAATCTCCCTCTAGGGCAAATCTTTCTGTGTTGCGTTTAAACATGTACAGCGTAAAGCACAAGTTTTATAACCAAGATTTCTTGGTACAACCACAATACAAAAAGTTCAGCTGCTATGCATAACTAAAGGAGTAGTGGCTTGCCTACTTCATATCCGATAGAAGTGCTGGAAGAGGTGAAATTGGGTAAGAAATGAGATACCAGAATAAGACTTAATGATGGCAACAACTTCTAGCATCAAGTATCCAATTGAGAGTACAACTAAAATTTGGTGATTGAAAATTTACCTAACATTTACCAAAATAAGACTTAGTCAAAGACACTGTAGGACTTGGAGTCCAGTTTCTGATTTAAGTCAAATTTCGTTCGTTTCAAAAAAAGTATTTGTCATTTTTCAGTTTGCATGTTAAATCCTCATGCCCTCATGCCAACTTCTTTAGCTGCTTTATAAGCTTAACTTTCAGATCCCAGGATGAGCTCTGTGCCAGGCTCCTTGTACATCAAAAGTAGGATTATGTAGGTCAAATCCTGCCCTCTGACTCTTTCACAATTCCTTTGTTTTCTGCTAGTTTTCAGCTGAAGAAACTGAAGGCATTACTTAGCCCCACTATTCTAACATAGGTAACAAATTCTTTTGCTGCCTGGGCTAGAATAGAATTTAGCTCTTTCTTCCAATGCTCGAGTGGCTTTCCAGTAACATAAACAGGCAGATGTGACGGTGAACACATAAACAGTAGATCTGCCAGGAAAGGTGCTGTCATTATGGTGCTTCTCAGAGCAGAGCTGTATTTCAGATGACAGCTACATCCTTTGAACATCCAGCTGCAGACTGCGAGGATCTCTGAGTTCCTATGTGCCCTAAGTCCCTTTAAAATGAGGTATTCCACCATCATAAATATTCTTGAACTGAGGGGATTAGTAGATAACATCATTGATGTATCTGGCTTATTAGGACAGAAATCATCCCTTTTGTCCATAATCAAAGGGATCAGATAATTCTTTGAATGCCTGAGCAGGAGAGAACAAACAATGGGAGAGTGGCAGCTAGGGATAACTTCTTTCATGATCACTGTCACTGATCGTCCTACTTACTGTTTTCGGTGAAGTGGCCACTGCCACAGCCTCTTGTCGTTTGGCACCAGGACTGCAAGATGATGGGGGGCTGTTCAACATGCTCTGGCTGCCAGCTCTGCCAGTCCGTAGCTTCTCTCCCAGAGCAGACAACCAATTTTTTCTTTCAGGTGAACTATTCTCTTTATCTACTACCTCAGCATCTTTCCCACATGGAGATCTGAAAAGATGAGGGGGAGTTTGAATGCCCGATGGATTAATACAGCTTCTAGGAAAGGAAGGCTCTTTTGGGCTGCAGCTGGAGGCTTCAGAATTGTTATCCAAGTCAACCAGGCTAGGAGAGCCTTCATCACAAGCTTTTTGGTCTGCAGCCAAGTGACATAAATTCAGCTTGGATTTCTTAGCCGCATGGTCCAGTTCAGTCACACAGCTACAGGCCTGCAGACACTTCTGCCCTGCATCATCCTCCTTGCTGCAATCAAGCCTTCTCTTGGCACGCTTTTCAAACTGCGAGTGTGGGGCTTTAGGAGGGCAAGCGGCTTCCAGGAGACCTTGGGTGACTTCTGCCAGGGCTTTTCTAGGAGAAGGAGCCTTTTTCCCCACTTCTGGAGGAGAAGAGCATGGAGTCCTTGTAACCCAATGTTTAATAGACATTTTGGAGGAAGGGATCAGTTTGGGAGAAGCGCATGGGCTGGCTTCGCTCCTCTTGGCTGGGGTGCAGGCTGTGGCTGTCTGGGTTTTGAGAGCACCCGTCGGAGTGTTTGTAGACAGGGGAAGGTCTCCAGAATAAATGGGAGCACAGGCAGCTGGCTGTGGTGAAGAAATGCACGGGCTGCCCACTGTGAAGGCCTTGGCAGGAGTAGTCTGTGGGCTGGCTGGCGGTCCTGATGGGGGAGAAATAAGTAGTCTGATGAGGAACACAGAACAGCAGATTAAAGACAGCCCTTTTATAAACACCCCTTCCAACTGGGAGATGAATTCAGTGCTGACCCTGCTTCTCAGACGTACACTTTTGCATTAAAGAGGTTGCATAAATCCTTCTAATTTCTGTTAAACTGTTACAAGTCCTGTGTAAAATCCTACATGGTATTGATGAGTGTAATACTGTGTGTTTGTGTAATGTCTGACATCTGTTACTTCTGTCATGAGCACTCTTAGGTGAGCTACAGCCAAGGGCCTGACGGACAGACATAGTAGATCTTCTCTCTTCCAAGTTTATCTAGCCTTGCTGGAAGCCTTGCAGTGGCTTGGTCCAGACAGCTCTGTACTGAGATGCTGCCTTAGAGCAAGGCTGGTCCCCACCTGCACCACCATCTTTAAAGGCTGCATAGCTGAGTTGAGGGACAAACATACTGTAAGCAGGTCCCACAGCTAATTACAATACCAAGGAAGCCTTACGCTATTATGAATAATGCCATATGAATAATGCTCCTACTCAGGTGTTAATAGCTGCATATTTTAAAGATGAAAAGGAAAAAAAAAAAAAAAGAGTGAGAACAGGAAAGGACATACTTTCATGCTCTTGTCTTTTTGCTGGAGGATTTTCTGCAATGCTATATTGGTGTGAAGATGGTAGTTATTTACCACACCCAGGGAAATGTAAGAAATTCTTCAACTCATAAACAAGGACTCCAAAGAAAATAAAATCTCTCACTGTAGTAAGTTATTTCCTTAGAGCAAATGATCCCCAAACAGGTATTTCACAGTGGCTTTTGAGCGCACTAGTCAAGATGTAAACCCCCATGCTTTTAAAAAAGTGGTTCTGAATACCCAGCTTCTTAAAACAGTAGGCATAGGTACGGGCATAAGGACCGCACTAGTAACAGTGGGAATCACATATAGCAAAGATCTTGGTCTGCAGCAATATTAGAGGGGTTTTTAAATTTATTTTATTTTTTTTTTTTTATTTCTGGAAACAGAGAACATGTTAGCAGGTTTATTAGATGCCTGCTTTCTTATTTTAAATAGGATAGCACCTTAGTTACTCCATGCATTTCCACTGCTGAGCACAAGAGCTCCAAACATTTTCTGTATACCAGGAGTTTAAACTGCACTCCTAATTCTCAGCATTAGCACTGTATTATAAAGCACTTCATTAGAACAATGAGAAGTCTAGTGTGAATAACCTGCCATTTTCTTTAGGATGCTGGGCTGCCTCACAAATAACATGTCAAGTGAGCACCTACATGACTCTTTGATTATATACAATACCAAGCCTCTTTTGATCCTTCCTTTTACTGTATTATCTAGTATTCAAAATACAAGTACTGGTGCATTAGAGCAAAATTAAATAGGATCCCATATTAATAAATTCCACTACAAATCACTCTAATACACAAAATGGACTTAAAGGCTCCTTTCCTGATAAAATATGCTACTTCATAACAACTTTCTTCAAACTGGACTTCTTGAAACTAACTGCCAAGATTGGTTCTCCTAATCTTTCCCTTAATGAGCACTTAAAAGACAATATCTCAGCTGGGGAATTAGTTGCGCTTAAAAATCTAACCTCCTAGAGGCAGAAGAGAAGTAGCAAGCTCAGCAGCTCTTGACCCCTAATGACCATCTACAAATTCATACAGCAGAAATACTGCATGACTATGGGTATGAGCACTCTCAATCCCAAACCAGTCTGAAAGTTATACTGTGGAGACACTGGATAAGGGAAAAAAATGCTATCTGCTGAGTTGGATAGGTGTCACAGCAAGAAGCAAACCCAAACCTGAGAAACATCCTCAGACTTGAGATAAAGAATACAAAGAACAGGCTTAGTTGTAAGACTGCATGCATTATTAAGGCTTCTGCTAAGCCAGTTCCAAGCTGTTTGCATTTATGCTGCCATTGCATGTAGCACCAAACTGTAAATACCTGCAGTCAACCTGCATAACACCAAAGCAGGTTATTTCAGATGTTTCCTGCCTTCTCTGCTACAAGTCTTCTAGAGTGGTGTTAGCAGTTTCTAGAGTCACAAACTGTCCATGCACAGGCCTGCTCCAGAAATTTGGTTACACAAAAACATGAAGTAGTGCAACTTATGGAAACCACAAAAATAACTTCCAAAGAAAAGGAAAGTGTGCTTGCTACACTTGATGATATAGGTCAACAGTCAATACACAACCTCAGTCTCACAATTTGTTCCACATAAATGGGTGGGGAACAACCTACATCTCATCCCAGCAGGTCTGAAATAGTACTTAGCTTGCCAGCTCTGAATCAGTCTCTGCAGATAACTCCTATATTCTAACAGCACATGCTTTGTGTTCAAGAGCCAAGGTCAGCAGGAAGCCTGCTGTTGTGTTTGCAGTGTCTGTGTACTTCCTCTTCCCTCCTGTGTTACTTTAATGCAGCAAGAGCAAGGAGAAATAAGTTATTTTTCTAGTATAATTGCCAAAGCTGACTTGTAAATTTTAGTGTAAAGGGTAATTTAGGTTTCAGGCTTCTGGACTAGACCTATGCTTACTTCTCTTTTGATGAAACTAGTACACAATGTGATTTTTGAGCCCTCTCTGAAGCAGAGTATGTGCACACACAAACCATTTACCAGCTACAGAGCAGACCTGGCACTCTCTCTGCTATTGTCCTGCAGACTTCCTGCATGACTGTTACTTACTGGCAAAAGGTTAGAGGTAATGTTATCCCATTAGTGGGATTTGGAGACCTTCAGCCTTTATTTGTGTCAGCGAAGGTGAAATTCATTTGGAGGGTGACTAGAAAAGATACGTGGAACACAGGAAGTCACACTAGCAGCTGCTGGGAAGCCATTATATTCTTAGTTTCAGAGCTACTCTACAGAGACGCTCATCTTATACCACTTTTTGGGGGGGTTATTCTCCTTTCACCTACTCTACTGTAACAAAATGCAAGTTTCAGACAAGTCAGTCGTGCTATGATCCAGGGCTCCTTTCTTTTAATCTAGGGTACTGTCCAGTCAGCAGCTTCTCTATAGAGCCCAGATCTGCTTGCTAGCTGTGAGAGCATCCTGCACGGCTTTAGCAATAACATTTGTTAACTAGCCTTAATATGTGAGTAGAGGAACGCTACTGATTAATTCTAGAACATTATGATCACATCATGATTGTCTACATGCATTTTTTAAGTACTTTCACTACATGGCATTTGTCTGTATAGACGGACAGTATCACTGTATGAAGCTGAAGAAAGATGTAATATTGATAGCAGCAGCAAAGAAATCAGTGCAGAATTCAGCTGCTAGGCAGGAGGAAACAGTTCAGAGTTCCAAGGCTGTGTACGTGTCATCAGCCCATCACTGTGTAAACTAGCAAACTGGAAAAAGCATATAATCTTGCTGCTCTCAGTTATTATTTGATATTAAAAAAAAGGTGTGACTTGTTGCTACAGTGCATGCACACATGACATCTCCTTTGGCTGTTTGTTTATTGTACCCTGCTGATACCCACTAAAGATCTGTCTGCCCAACAGGCTGTATTAATGAATTGCTTTGTAGTCTGGTCATACCAACTTTGGCATACTTGTAAGCTATTTCCACCAGCTTGGCTGGTAGCAGAAGCATTTACAGGTAGAAGTGTTTGTCTGGCTATATGAATTGTTGCCTAATATGAAAAAAACCAGAAGACTATTAAGACAAGCCGAAGGCTTTTGTTGGTACAGTGATCAGCCAAATCAGACACCATGTTGCAGAGCAAGATACCTCAGCTCAGGGGCCTTACCTGCTCCACATTGTTCTGGTTTCTTCTGTGCGACCCAGCCCACCAAGTTGATTTTGCTGAATGCTGGTTTCTCCTCCTCAGGACGGCGTCGTAAGCGCCAAATCCTCACAGTGTTGTCATCAGAACACGTGGCAATCTACAGTATAAATTAGTTTGTTGGAGTAGCCAGGACACAGCCTATGGATCACTGGCCAAGTAAACTAGAACAACTACACCTGACACACCATGACAATACAAATGAGAGTGAAGCCTGGTTGAGAGGATACAAGATTTGCCCATAAAACAAACAAAACAACCCAACTCTTTTTCATTACTGTACCAGACAGCAGTATTTGCCTTAAAGTGGGCAAGGCTGCCATCTTCAAGTCTTTCTGCTAGAGAAATCTCAGTCATCAGTAACCGCTTGCCTTGCATAGCTCTGTAAGAGACAGCAGTCTGCTCAGGAAGGGCCAGGGCATATTTTGAGTTTTCACTCACTTGGTAGACAAAAGCAGCCATACTGCTTTTTTGCACCTGCATCTAGGTCTGTCTCTGTTACTCAGGACCTTTTTTCTGCTTGAGACAAACAGTTGCAACACACTGAGAAGGTGATATTGGAAGGCTGTTGCACTAGCCTGAAGCACTATCTCTTCAGAGAGATGTCAGCAGCATCTGGTAGAGAAAACAACCCTGCTAGAAACTTCGGTCTAGAGTCCCGCTGCAGCACCATGCACTCCAAAAGGATCTGTGGAATCTCGCCCAGAGAAGCAGCAGAACCCACCTAGCCCACATTTTATTGCTCTCTTTGGACAGATAAGCTGGTGACTCACATGGGAATCAGCAGCAAGAAAAAGGAAACGCTGTGACCAAAGTTCATAGTAATCTGGATGGGAAAGTGCCTCTATTCTGACCCCTGTGACACCAATATTATCCCTACAGAAAGCAGCTTTGCCTCTCAAATCACTTCAAGCAGCTTCCTGACCTGTCTTACCATCACATTTTCCACTTTTCTTCAGGCTTCAGCATCTGTACAACAGCTGACTATTTCTTACCTGTGTCAGTACTGATTTTAAAGGCTGTGTTGGTCTGCATTTCCAACACATCGTGATCAGGATGCTGGGCTACCTCTAGATCACAGATTTCATCTAAAATGCTAATTCTTATATTTTTGTCCATCTTACACAACTAGAACAATTCTTCCTGTTTTCCTGCAAGACTCCCACCCTCCTACGCTGCAATGCTTTTCTGAAGACCCGGTGCTATAGTGCAAGCTAGGGAAAGTGGCTGACTTGCTCAATGCTGTGGGGTGAAAGAAACTCTGACTATTATTAGGACACTGTCTAGCTTTTTTTCAGGGTTATTTCTCATTTTGAGCTAGGCCAATTATTTGAACCAACCTCCTACTGCGGTTCTCTTCCTTTTAGTGATACCTGGTGCATAATTACTGACCCAATTTCACTGTAGGTTTTCGGGTGTACAGACAAACATGTCATAAAAACAGTATGGATTTTTTAAAAAGGCCACAATGTTTTTTAAAGAGCATTCAAAACTTCTTGCTGCTTTGTGCAAGATTAGCAGGTGTATCAATGGTCAGAAAGGTAAGGAAGCTGTAGGTATGGAACCACAAAACAAGCCTTCGGCTTATGAAAGCCCTGATTAAATGGTTTCAGAGTTTTGTCTCTTACAGGTAGTATCACAAGCTCTCATCAGGAGAGGTCTTTGTTAATTTGCGATTTCTTAGGTCTTATCAACTAGCCAAAATTATTTGAAAATAATGAAAAAGTTCTGATTCATTGTGCTCATGTGACAAGCTTGGTTTACTCCCCCCCCAATAAACTTTCTTAGAAATTATTGACTAAAAATTTCTTCCCCAATAAGCAAATACTGCTGCAATTTTGAAAAGCAGATGTTGCCACATCAAATCTATTGTTTCACAGGAAAGACAATTTTCCAGAAGACAAACCTTAGTGAAATCTGAAGGACACCAAGCAATGGAGGTAACTTCTTGAGAGTGACCAAGGAGTATCCATGGAGGAAGGCTGGGCTCAGAAACCTGGAAAATTCCACAGAAAAACAAGTGTATAATCAGAAGCCCTGCAGCCTAATATGCATCACTAAGAAAAGACCTCACAGCCCACCTGTGAGGGATGTGAATACTTTCCATCTTTCCTATATGAGACAGATAAATCAAATGCTCTCAGCCTGTCATCATGAGGCAACAACTGATGGAGCCCTAAGAATCAGTTCATGTTTCAATTTTAGAGGTGAAGCAGCTGGCCAACACTGAGATGTACTGACTTGCCTGGAAACACTTGTTCAATTCCTGCTACACACAGGATTTCTGCCTCCAGACTTGTCAGCCCAAAACACAACACAAGCATTTTACAATATTAAGTACCTCTACCTCTTCTAGGTAAGATGCTTAAAAGTTTGGGAAGCTCATACTTTGAATCAGGATAGGCAAACATATTCCGCTACCATTTTATAAATGTCCGAATCACAGGTCGATGGTTTATTAAAAAACTAAAACCACCGCCAACAAAGTCCTATCGATGAACCTTCACCGGCTTCAGAACTGGCATTTGTGTGACTGCCAAGTGCCTACACTTCCTCCAACCAACCAGCTGGACCAGAGACCCTCTTAAGAGTTCATAAAAAAGCTCCCCAAATCACTCATGCTCATTAAACTGATCTCCATTTCTCTTACAGATACAGCTGAAGCTAACATTAAGTGGCCCAAGGAAGAAAACACACACACATACCACACGCACAGATTATATCCAAGTTTTGCATGCTTTCAGCAGGCAACCCTTTCTGGAGCTATGAGTCACCATTATTGATGTGACATTATAAGGGGGATTTATCAAGGGAATTTGCATAAATGACTAAGTAAATGAACAGATCCTTTACTGTGTGGGAAAAGGAGTAGACATTACATATAGATTTCAAAGGAAGATGCAAGACATCGAGGAAGGCTTCTGATTTACACACAAGTTTTTTCTCTTGCAGATCGCCTCCTACAACAGCCTGCAAAACCGCAATTGAAAATCCAGCTTCAGATCTTAAAGTTGTTCTGATACAAACAGATTCATCTTAGCAGCCACATTTTTTTTCCTGGCATAGCAGAGGCAATCACTTGACTAAATATCCACTAAATGCCTTGGTGAGTATTCTCTTCTCTGCCAAAACACACAATACCATGGAAACTAAAACCCTATTTAGGGAATAAACAATAGGAGATCCTGGTGCAGAGAACACCTCCTTTTACATTTAATAGCAGTTTTGCTATACACACATAGCAGACACAGTAGCAGTCCAGTAGCCACTGACTGCTGAAAGGAAAGCAGAGGAAGAGAATTACTTTTGCTGGGACACGCTGGTTTTACACTACACTAGTGTAAATTAAACCAACCGCACCCAATTTATGTTACTGTGAACTAAAGGAGCATGCATAATAATAGCTGTGTCCACTGTGTTTGGCAGAAGACAGCCAGCCAGCCTGTGCGTGTTAAGTCAGGATTAGCCACAGCACATGCTGCTTTTTGCCTGATTTGACAGGATATCAGTGGGAAGTTCGAACTATTGTGGAAAGGTTAAGAAGAGAAACCTAGGAAATGAGACTTTATTAGTATCTCTACTCACTGAAACAGCTGTTGTACCCATCTTCAAGATTCAGATTAAATGATGTATATAGTTTTATGCACCATATGATACAGAAGCACTTAAATTCTAATGCTGGGACAGACCAAAGGGTAACTGTCCTAGGTTACAGTGTAAAA